CTCATGTATGTGTCCTTCAGGATGGTACTACAATATACACACTGAAATGTACCATTATAGTCTATAGTCCCGTTTGCATAGACTGGTAGACACCCTCGACATTGACGACACTGCCATGCAGGACACGCTGATGATGATTGGTATGGTGATGGTGGCGATGGTGCTGATGCTTCCACCGACATCAGCTCTAAATCCCAATTCTCTTCCGCGTTGGCAGCAGTGACTCCACTCTTGCCCCCTTCTGATGCCATTGAGAATAATTCTGCCTCCCAGTCTTCCATCCTATCAGTTGTAACACAGCCCCTGTCCCCTCCCCGTCATATATCAGGGCTCAGCCATTCAAAGGACACAATGTCATCACCTCGTGATCGAGCATGGCGTTGTTGAAGTATGACGAGAGTTAATACAAATTCACCAACGTGTCCTTGTTTGTGACGTCATAAAAGGGAGAGAGGTCCTCTCAGAGGAGTCATGGCCGTTGCGAGGTCATGAATTGCATACCGATGTTACAGCTGTCTCTCACACCTCTAGATTGTTTGTTTCAATACGTACTTTCTTAATCAATAGCATTCAATCCTTATCTAATTTAAACACATTTCGAAACGTTCGACATTCATGTTGTACGTTTTCTGCAGATGTATCTACAGTAAAGGACGGGAGAAAGTATAACTCCTACCAAAGGTATGACACAGTGTCCCAAACGTGGAACAATTCGTTCCAGAAGTATGACAAATCCTCCCAAAAGTGTAACTTAGCCTCGTACAATTCTCAAAGATTTTACTACTAAAATGACGGGAGAATGTATAACCGCGCCCAAAGTATGACACACTGTTCCAAAAGTATGACACCCCTTATAAAAATATGATAAGCTGTTTTCAAAGTATGACACACTATTCCAAAAGTATGACACACCCTTATAAAAATATGATAAGCTGTTTTCAAAGTATGACCAACCGTATCAGAAGTAGGGTAGACCATTCCAAAAGTATCACTGACCCTTATAAAAATACGATACAGTGTTTTCAAACTATGACACACTACACCTAAGCCGTGTTTACCTGCCTTTCTTAGCGTGTCTGATTGCTAGACATGAGGTCAAGATGTTCCACTCCCGATGGTTACACAGCAGTAAAAAGTGGTTTATTAAAGTGTCGCATGTTGTGGTTGACTCTAGTCGGCTATAGAGAGTTGGACAGTATATAATACAATGTGATCATTTTAGCAGTACTGCTATACACTAATGCAGATGACGGGCAGTTTACCTCTCCATCTAAAATACTGTACGGGGCGAGATTTGCAATGGTTTGGCAATACTGCCCCTTTTCTGAAAACCGTCTGTGGTGGCATTGCTTTACGACCGCAGTTGAAAGGATTATCGCGTCAACGCACACCATGGAAGACATCGACAGAGAGAAATGGTGTATAAGATAGTAGATGTAATTTTCGCGACTTCATATGAGTTTATTGGGGAAAACTGGTGAGACGACGGCGACGACACGCACGACTGTGTATTAGAGACGATTAGGGCAATTAACCCTGTTGACGATGTACGTAGAGGCTATTTTCGAGACGGTAGGTAAGTCTATGTGAAGGGAAAAATGTGTAGAGACGATGGGGTGGACACTCACGACTGTGCATAATAGGGGACGATTAGAGCAGTTAGGCCGATTAATGATGTACGTAAGGGGTTATTTTCGAAGGAAAGTGTGTAGAGACGATGGGGGTGGACACTAGCGGTCATGTATAATAGGGGACGATTAGAGCAGCTAGGCCAATTAACGATGTACGTAGGGGTTATTTTCGAAGGAGAGGGTGTAGAGACGAAGGGGTGGACACTCGCGGCTGTGTATAATAGGGGACGATTAGAGCAGCTAGACCGATTAACGATGTACGTAAGGGGTTATTTTCGAAGGAGAGGGTGTAGAGACGACGGGGTGGACACTCGCGGTTGTGTATAACAGGGACGATTAGAGCAGCTAGACCGATTAACGACGCACATAGGGGATTATTTTCGAAGGAGAAGGGTGTAGAGACGACGGGGTGCACACTCGCGATTGTGTATAATAGGGGACGATTAGAGCAGTTAGGCCGATTAACGATGTACGTAGGGGTTATTTCGAAGGAAGGCTTCGCACACGCAGTGGTCGAAACGATTGCGTAATAAGGGGTGGTTAGACCCATCAGCAGGAATATACGATAAACCGAGGACATATGGTGCGTAAGATAATAGAGGCGATTTTCGTCTTCTTGCTGCGCGTGTCGGACGTGTATGGTCATGTCTACAACGCGGACACGCTCAATTACCCTTTGGGACCTTTGGGGTGCATATCACTCTCAAACCATACCGTCAACAGCTATCTGTACAGTTTGGACGTAATGAGCCTTTTCTTAAAAACAACTATGGCGGTATAAGTAGCAGAGATACTTTGGTAAAGGTGTGTGGTAATAAAATAGACTGTAGTGGGGTGAAGAGATTGGAATATCCTATACTGTTTATTTGCAACACGGACAGAAAAAGCGAACAGGGTAGATTACACATGCACAACTCGTACGGTATAGATTACACGCGAATATGGCCCGAATTTCACGATTTTGTGGCAAAATACGGTCGTTTGCATTATTCCTACAAAAGAGTTCGTGTACAAAGCCTGTCGTCGGTAGCTTGCGATCACCATTTCAGTTAAAGTAATACGCTTCCATGGTTTTCAGATGGCATGATAATACCAAGAAGAGTATACTCAGGAACTTTAAGAGCCATGGATTTTGACGAGGGAAAAATTAGGTTATTGATAGAGCTGTAGGAATGTTCTCGATTTTTTTCCCACGCTGCCGTCTCAAAGCAAACCGATTTTACTAGCCAACCATACAAAGAGGTGTTAAGCGTGGCTTTTAGCGCTTACACAGCTAGGTACCCACGGCGATAACGCCTGTGTTTGATGTAATAGGTATAATTATGTCCAGGACCGGGATTTGACCCCTTACCGTCCAATGGCAGGACGAGGCGCCCTTAGGTCACGCCCCCTATTCTTTTCGCACGTAACCGCTGATGGTGACGAGAGTATCACGAGCACCGACACGCAGTAGCTAGTTAGAAGCCGTCTGCCCGAGAGTGAGGTTGTATATTTTGAGTGCTCCGTACCACGATGTCCTGCTGCTACGTTCCCGAATCGTATAATGAGCAGAGGGATGGAGAAAGATGTAAACTTTACTTCAATAAGAAGGGAAAAGTATCGCCATCATCGCACTCTGGAAACGAAGACACCTTGTCGGTGGACGGGAAATATGGTCTCCCAACTGTTTTGTGAGTAGAAATGTAGTTGTGCATATTTACGAATAAAATTTGTGTAATGTTGTTTTTACTAGTCTCTGTTGTGTTTTATATAAAAGTGTTGACGTTGTCTACCTCGTGGACATATTTTGGGGTGGTTTAAACAATGAGGGATACGGTGCTCGCGCGGTCTAGTATTGTAGAGAGCTTTACATAGACTGTCCGACTCAATATCTTCTTTGTTGTATTTGGTAGAATATAACCGCCTTCCCGTGTTGTATTGTAGAGAGCTTTACATAAACTGGAGGGTGTGTTATTTTTGAGTGTCTTGTTACATTTGTTTTGCTGCCTAGTATTGTAGAGAGCTTTACATTGGCAGTACGACATTTACAGACCTCCTTCAAAATTATTATTCGTTCCCGCTTTGGGTTTACGATACGAGGTAAAGAACGTAACACTCGGTACCACTCTTGCTGCTTTGCCGTTTTCTACCTCACATTTTGTTTCATGTAGAATATCACCGTCTTACCGTCTTGTATTGTAGAGAGCTTTTATGAGGTAAAAACGCGTCTGAGAGCAATTGAGAATTTAGCTTGACGGATGGATTCTTATGGTCGCCATTTTTGTTTGTGTGACGTCATTAGTAGGTGTCACATGCGCGCGCACACACGCACACACACACACGTACATGCACGAACACGTACTAGATGACCATTCCCTTATTTGTGACGGTTCAATGACCACGTGACGTCAATACCGTCGTTGTAGGTCGTGACGTCAGTGTGGCAGTATATTTTCGAGGTTGCGTCACCATCAAGTGACGTCACTACCTTCCTTTGTAGATCGTGACGTCACGAGACCAATCGTCGTGACGTCATACGTGTATGACGTCAGTGTGGCCGCATATTTTCGAGGTTGCGTCACCATCAAGTGACGTCACGACCTTCGTTTGTAGGTCGTGACGTCACGGGACCAATCGTCGTGACGTCATACGTGTATGACGTCAGTGTGGCCGCATATTTTCGAGGTTGCGTCACGTTACGTCACCTCGGAAATGTGCGGTCACCGCTCTACCGGGAGCACCTACCTCTCACATAGTCTGCATATAAAAGTTAATGCTTCAATAAGTCTGTACACATTGTATCGTCTTCTAATCGCACAACATTTGACCCTGAACACTCATGATATATTTCTTTGAAGGGAGGTATTGCAGATAATTATGTATATCTGTTTTCTTCATGTGCGTTTCATGTCCTTCCAAGTTGAACATACAGCACAAGTACATTTTGTATGGCAGCAGGAAAGATACAATGTCCGCAGTACAATATCCAATGTACTGCATTTGTGTGTAGTACTCGTTAAGATCCGGATTAGAATTGGTTTTCAGCAATTCATGCTTGTAGTAAGAGGTGTCGAACAAGATCGGGTGGTCAGGCTTGTTTACTTGGGAGACACATGTCATCGTATCCCGAATGCGTAGATCGATGCTCATGATGTCAGTCACTGGATTGTCTGGTTATTTCAAAATTCATTATTCAAAAAGATGTTAATGTGAATGGAATTTGTCACTATATACGTGTAAAACGAGTGACCAGGACGTTGTTGAATTATGAGAAATGCATCGCCATATTTGACGTGAACGTGCTTAGAAAAGTGTGGCGGGGAGTCAGTGCATCTGGAATATGTAGATATGAGACAGTCGCCAAATCATTGATACAAAAGTAATACTTACATACACCAACTGCAGAATCATCGACGGGTATAGCAGCCTGGTATTGAACACAAATTCTGACAACTGAAACTGCAGCGGAAAACTCTTGAAATCACATGATGAAAAAGATTTAATTCCGTATTGTACAAAGGTGGCTGTGAGTGAAAGTATGAACAGGAAATATTGACTGCTTTATTCAAATGATAGCGCAACAGTATTCAGCACTCACAAGTTTAGAGATGTGTTAAAGGAAATGTTTGTCAAGTTTAAGCTCACAACCTGACAGTAATTACTCTTCAGTGTATGAAACTAATGGACTATTGTCATATGGAAATAAAGCCTGGGTATTGTTCCCACAAACTACGACCATAATCAGGGCAGATACGGGACTTGAACTACAACAAACGAATTCTAGCCAGCGTCAGGGACATAGAATGTCTCAGCTAAGGCAGCACTTTTGACGATTTGGCTACACAAGGCTCTACAATGTTACTGATGAAACGTGAAACGCAAACTTCCATATACTTCGGGTGCCGGGGAGTGAAACCACTACCAAACAATTGTTCACTATTATTTGTGAATAGATGCGGCAGTAACCCTTTCCACGGCCATAAAATGTCCTCTCGATTACAATTCCGGCTATACTACTAGTGCAACGTGACTGTGGTTATAAATCACTCCGAAACAGTTAGTGATAATACCAGAACAATATGGGCGTATCCTGCCCTACTATTAGCACATAAGTGTATGCAAAGCCTAGTCGTGCACATGTCTTGCTTATCCAAACTCACAGGTTGCGGACTACCTCGACTTGTACAACTCAGAGCACCGTGGTTTAGTTTCTACATGCATTTCACTCTTACTTCATTGGAGTTTGTGTACAGACGTTTATACCAAGATAACTTCCTCAAAAGCACGTCGTAACAAGCACCTGACTTTTACATTTTGTGGGAAAAGGCTACGTTAACAGGAAGCAAACAGACAGGAAGAATTATTTTCACTCTCATCTGACCCATGTGAAATAGCGACGCAAATACTTTATACATGAGGTGAATACCTTCCAGCTTCCCTGTAGAAACAGGACATCATTACAGATTAAATACATTGTCAAATACTGAAACCTGGACTCATTTCTATCTTTATACGGTGTGTTCCGCGGCTGATGGTGTCCTCAATTATACTAGTTGAAAGTGACCGTGAGACCGCATGCACTTTGTCAACAGAATTAATGTTATACTACATAACTATCCGTTGTCTTGGTGACAAAAGTGTGGACGTTTCAACTGATACTTAGAGAGCACACATTGTGGGCTTAAAGCTTAGTCATTCTTTCAGCAATCTATTCGACCCAATAACAACTAATCTGTTACCTATTACCAGTGAAACGTGCATGCTTGGTACTCAAGTCACAATATGAACCATTTTCTATGTAACACTCGTGTCGTTAAAAATACGCTTCGCTGACATGCAGACATATAAGCTTACAAGCAGAGACATAAGCTGATATTTAGAGAATAACCAACGAGGTACGAGTGATTACGGGAAATATGCCCGAGTTGAAATAATGTTCACAGTGCCGAGCCTTGGCGAGGCACTGAACATTATTTTAACGAGGGCATATTTCCCGTAATCACTCGTACCTCGTTGGTTACTCTATTTATTACCCATAATGTAATTTAAAAGGAAGAGCCACGAAATAAAAACCACCCGGAGACAGGACTTGTGACCTTAAACAGCTGATTCGTATTCATGCGCGTATTAAACCTAACTTCTCCAGCGGTAATAACATAACTTCGCTATGGAAATAGTACATCATAAAATCGCTTTAAAATACAACAAAATTATTATGCCTGGAATAATTAATTAACATTTGTTAATATGATAAAAATGATCTTTTTGATTGAACTTAATAAGAGCTAAACATTTATTCGATCAAGTCAGTGCGACGGAACATCGTTCATTCACGACTGACGTGTTTTCTAGTGACGGGTGACGGTGTAGTGTTGAAACACACTCTGGCAAAAACCTGTCAATTTTTGGGAAAGTCAACGGTTAAAAGTTGGGAAATCTAAAAGACAACCATCCCACGAATACATCTAGAAAAAGTTTTCTGTCAAGAAACTCAACAAGTTTGAAGATAAAACAACATTTTGTTCTGTGGAAGGCGTGTTACACTCTCGTCTCAGTAGAGTACAGCAGTTCCAAGAAGGATAACTCTAGTCGGAATCCGAGTCTATGAAATGTGTCAATCTCTGCATCGGCTACTGGGACCAACCTCTCAGATTGATTAGGAATGCATGGATATAAAAAGTCATCTTGAAGAAGAACATTTAGCACTGATTCCGGTAAGAAAGGACCTGTTTTCTGGTTCGATGGCATGGACGCCGTGTCCGACTTACTTGTTACACTTTCAGATAACATCTTTAGTCGGTATCTTGCTGTTTCTATTTCCCCGGATTCAGTTTCAACAACAAACAGGTTTTGGGAATTCAAGGGCTGTAAAATTCTTATCACTCTTCCTATTTGGTCACCGTCAACTTTAACTAGGTAAGGGACCTTGATCGGGGTTAGCCTAACGGCGGCCATGTTTGTTTACAAACAATGCAAACGATTGTTTGGTGGGTTTCTTAAAGATTATATAATTTAAAAAGACTGGTACTATTTATAACGCAGTTTTATTCCAAAATAATAACGTCTAATAAAAAGAATATTCATATTCTTTAACCTTCATGTTTTCTTTTTTAGATCTCGGAATGTGTGATTACATTACATAATGTCAATTTATCAATGAATCCATGAAACTTTATGAATGAACGTAGTGTGTGAAAGTAGTTCCGGCATCCAATGAAAATGTACAAATATACGATTAACCAATCAACGTCAAGAATCACTAAATTGCACATTGTGCAAATATCAAAAAGATATTACACGGGATCTCCTCACCCGTATGGGTAATAAAAATTGATATTAGCCGATATGAGGAGATATAAGCCGATATGAGGAGAGATACAGTGATATAAGCTGATATGCAGTGATATAAGCTGATATGCAGTGACATAAGTTGACATACAGTGATATAAGCTGACATACAGTGACATAAGCTGATATACAATGATATAAGCTTATATGCAGTGACATAAGTTGACATACAGTGACATATTCTGACATACAGTGATATAAGCTGATATGCAGTGATATAAGCTGATATACAATGATATAAGCTTATATGCAGTGACATAAGTTGACATACAGTGATATAAGCTGACATACAGTGACATAAGCTGATATACAATGATATAAGCTTATATGCAGTGACATAAGTTGACATACAGTGACATTCTGACATACAGTGATATAAGCTGACATACAGTGATATTAATTGACATACAGTGATATAAGCAGACATACAGGGATATAAGCTGATATACAATGATATAAGCTGATATGCAGTAATAAAAGCTGACATACAGTGAAATAAGCTGACATACAGTGATATAAGCTTACATACAGTGATATAAGCTGACATACAATGATATAAGCTTATATGCAGTGACATAAGTTGACATACAGTGAGATATGCTGACATACAGTAATATAAGCTGACATACAGTGATATTAATTGACATACAATGATATAAGCAAGGATATAAGCTGATATATAATGATATAAGCTGATATGCAGTAATAAAAGCTGACATACAGTGAAATAAGCTGGCATACAGTGATATAAGCTTACATACAGTGATATAAGCTGGCATACAGTGATATAAGCTGACATACAATGACATAAGCTGACATGCCGTGATATAAGCTGACATAAAATGATATAAGCTTACATACAATGATATAAGCTGACATACGGTGATATAAGCTTACATACAGTGATATAAGCTGACACACAGTGATACAAGCTGACATACAGTGATATAAGCTGACATACAGTGATATAAGCTTACATACAGTGATATAAGCTGACATACAGTGATATAAGCTGACATACAGTGATATAAGCTGATATACAGTGATATAAGCTTACATACAGTGATATAAGCGGACATACAGTGATATAAGCTGACATACAGTGACATAAGCTGACATACAATGATAAAAGCTGATATGCAGTAACAAAAGCAGACATACAGTGATATAAGCTGACATACAGTGATATAAGCTGATTCGCAGTGATATAAGGTGATATGGAGTGATGGAAACTCATATGCAGTGAAGTAAGCTGATATGCAGCGATGTAACTGACATCTTGCTCAAACTAGATCTTGCAAACCACACTCACATAGTACACAAAAGCTAACATTATGTGTCTTTAAACGCATCGCACTGACAAGTGCACAAGTGCTTAATTATGAAAGCAAAGAGACAAACACCATTTCTTATTTACAACAGAAATAATTCGAATGTGGATGAATGTACCAACGTATGTCAGGGCAACACTGTAAATATAATGTGTTATTGTTCGTGTCTGAGGTGTCGCGATTCACTATGCCAAGCTGCGATATTTATTCCATGTGGAAGACAGTGCTGGGCATACATTTAGGTATGTTCTTTTTTTTTATTAGGCATTCATACAGGATTTCAAGCGAACCCCATAGAGTTATGTCCCTTGGATCGCTCTTTATGGATATCTTACAACTCCTTTGGAAACAGATCTCAGTCCTAGGCAAAAACAACTTAAGATTGAAACCAGTTCTGCTAACACTGTGCTTGCGACAGTTTTTGATGTACGGAGCAATTGTTAACATTCTATATATGGCATGTGTTCCCTGTTTGGAATCTGTTTGTCTCGAGGGTTCAATGATCTATTTAATGCAGGTCGTAGGGAATGATATGTGTTTTTTTCATAAATAGGAAGGTAAAGTGAGTGCATATGCTCAAATATCAATAACATAGGCCAAAATATTCGAAAATGTGTGAAATTGTGCGTGTAAGAGGCCTTTAGCCTGTCAGAATACTGGTGTACTATTTTGTATGCATGCTTTTAATATATACTTCTCAGACAATAAGCTGATCTCATAATTTCGATCGTCCGTTAAATGATCGTCTTTGTGTTAAATGACAATGTTTTCCACGTAAAGGAGATGAACTTAATGAAGTTGACTTTAATGAGAATGTGTAGATTGAGGGTACACGTGAGTAGCTTGAGTAT